AACATGATTTCGGTTGGATAGTTTGAAATATAAAAGCGGCTCTCATCTTCTATTTATCGTATTTATGCATGCCTGTTTATTGTTTACTGCAACATAACTGTAAGTCTTGATTAATTTTACAAATCTTGCATAAAAGGATTGTTAATAACATCCAAGGGCCCTAAATTGAAATGCAGTTATACCTAAACAAACATTAACGGAATATAATTGGTTTTTTTATGATTGTGGTATTTTACGATTTTAACACATGCCTTGTGTTGCTTTAAGTGCGGACAAATTCCAATAAAATAAATTACTGGTATTAAATGCAATGGGCAGAAGAAAACCGTAATGCATTGCATCAAAGAGATGCATCTCTTTAATTGTTTTATTGTATGAAGAAACTTACCCAGGGCTGGATTTAGCCATTAATGTGAGTAATCTGATCCACAACTTTTAATAACACTAGTTTACAGCCATTTTGCCCACCATGTCTCACTATGATTTTCTTGTCTACACGGAGAAAAAAGTATAATGCTGATTACCATAATTATAATACCCTTTACTATAATTTATATTATTATTTGGGACAACTATCTTGTATATTGCCAGACACTATGCATATTTAGTAATTTTTAAATATCCATGTATGTTAAACCTTAATGTAAAATATTATTATTCTCAACCAATTTTGTTTTTAATTCTTATTATAATTAGATTTTTTCCATTACTAATAAGTATAGTAAATTTTAAAATATTATGTTGCCATTTTAAATATAAAATATTTTAAAATCGAATATTTTTATATGTTAATAATTAAAAATTGTAACATATTTATTGTACTTTTTAATATAGAAAAATGTTATGAGAAAGAATTGAACCTACACCTCGCCAAAGTTTTTTGTTTTGAGTGCGTTCCATCAGCTTCAAATATCATCAGTGTCGACACGACACTGTCGAGCAACTTGTAGTAGTGGAACACACCCAAAACAAAGAAATACCTGAGCTTATATAACATGGTTGGGTTGCCAACAGAGGCGGGATGTAAGAACATCACGTGATCCACACCGTCTAACGACGCGTCGCGACGTGGCCTTTGCCGCAATCGGTAAATACTATGCAACCAAGTAGGTTCAATTCTTTCTTATAAGTATTACCAGTAATGGGTCGAGAAAGTTTATTTAATTAACTGAAAATTGAATGTTTAAAATGTCATGAGTTACTATATTGTATATTATATTTAAATATATTGTTTATTTACCTTAAACATAAAAGTATCTTTATTTTTACTATATTTTTTATTAATGTGTAATATATTATAATATTAGATGTACACCTTACATTTGATTAAATCATATAGTAAATATTACTATTTGTAAATAGTAAAATCAATTTACTATACGAACATATTAAAAATTAAAATATATATTATACATTTATGATTTCGTAATATTGGTGTTGTAATCTTTACTAAAATTGTATAATAAAAAATAGTATTTTGTATTACAATCTTAAGATTGTATTGACGAATATATAATATTGTTACCCTAAAAATTTCTTAAAGTAAATTTTACTATATTTTTTTTACTATTTAAAATTTACTATACATTTCTCTCCGTGTAGTTTGACTCACTAAACGCGAAAATCACACTTAAATTTTTTTTCATGGAAGCGTTTTCGAGATATGAATTTTCAATTGTTTTTTTTTTAATTTTCTGAAGTGTTTTGACAAGCACCTTACAAAGGTAATTGAGCCCTCTACAACTTTCTCTTGTATAGTTTTGGTATCGGCTCAGTAGTTCGATCCTGGCGATTTTATAAAGTTGAAAAAGTCCTTTTTTTTACAAAAATCTAGGTCGAAAATTTACATATCTTTCTGGGAAATTGAAAAGATAATTCCAGTTTGATTTATTTTACGTATAGATTATACTTAAATAAAAAAAATAAGATGCTGTTTATAAAAATCCATGGATAAATGGCGAAGTTATAAATTTTTCAGTGCAAGACCAAAATTCTGTTTTTCGACAATTTTTACGTTTTTCTTCATTTTATTGAATTATATAAAATTTAATATTGAACATTGATTTTTATTTTAAACATTAAATATTGAAATTAAATTATGTAGGTATAACAATAAATATTGAACATTAAAGAAATTAAAAGTTTTATTTTGTTGTAATAAGCATAGGTTTAAAAAAATGCTGGCTCCTTCTTTGTTTTTGTTGCTTTCGTATTCCGTTTCTCGTATGAGGGACCAAATATAATCACCCATCATGGCTGCATCCCAGAAGCCGTGATACCGCCGCTCCATAGCCTTCATTTGCTGGTGAAAACGTTCTTCGTGCTTATCACTTACGCCTAGATTGTCCGGGTTATTTACGCACTTGAACTCTCTACATCTTTTACTCATTTTACACTTTTATTAACTAAATAAACAATGATAAAAATACTAGATTGTCCGGGTTATTTACGCACTTGAACTCTCTACATCTTTTACTCATTTTACACTTTTATTAACTAAATAAACAATGATAAAAATACCTTGTTAAAATGTCAAAAAATAACAGTAAAATATCACTATGCCAACACGAGAAACAAAAGAATTCACGTTTGCGGAGTCAAGTCAAATTTGAATTTTGAATAATAATAAATATATTTCAAAAGAAAAAAACTGTAAATCGTCAAAAAGTTTAATTTTGGTCTTCCACTAAAAAATTCATAACTTCGCCATATATCCATGGATTTTTATTAACATTAGCTTCATTTAAACCTTTCCCCAGGACGATATGTTAATTTTCGACCTCAATTTTTGCCATAAAAACGAATTTTTTAAGTTATCAAAATCGCTAGCATCAAAATACTTGCATTAATACATTACAGGGAAATTACTTAGTATTAAGAGCTCAAATCTTTAGTGAGTAGTTACTTTAATGTAGAGAAATTAAAAAAAAAAATCCAAATCACAACAAAAAAAAAATCATTTGGTGGAATTACCAATATATAAAATAAGCAAAATCATAAAAATAAAGTATTTCATGTACTATTTTTTTAAGCGTTCAATGATTCTGTACTTTGATTACATTAAAGATCTTGAGTTTGCGACATTTTGTCATATTTAGATAATGTTGACGTTTAATTTTATAGGTTATGTGCATAAATTTGCTCTTCAGTGAGATGTAATTTTACAGTTACCTACACTGATTTCGAGTTAGCAGAGTTATTCGCTATATTTTGTATAGATGACCTTGTTTTTTGCCGTATCATTTTACCTTATGCGCATACCCTGATAGCACAGTTTATTCTAAGAATGTTTTTTAAACCTTCCAGTGGGAATATTCTTAGGATCATGCTATATTTCTTCTAGTCATGTTCTAAGAATGTTTTTTAAACCTTCCAGTGAGAATATTCTTAGGATCATGCTATATTTCTTCTAGTCATGTTCTAAGAATGTTTATTAAACCTTCCAGTGAGAATATTCTTAGGATCATGCTATATTTCTTCTAAAGAACATGCTTAAAAGAAATATAGCATAATCCTACGAATATTCTCACTGGCCTATAGGCAGGTTCTTAGAAGGTGCAAAGTTTAGTGGTAAAAATTAATCCACTCTAAACATATGCTTAGAATGTTGAAAAAGTAATTGCTATAGAAAGTTCATTTAGGAATATTCCTGGAACATTCTGTTAAGCATATTTATTTCATTTAGGTACCTATATAATAGTAAAATATACCATAATCTATGTATAAAGGTACCTATACTTAAAGTAAAAAACACAACTCAAAATATTTTTTTTATAGTTATTTGTCAAATTAAAACAATATTCGATAACAAAAATACTTTTACTATCTTCTATCCAACTTAAATACAATAAAAAATGTTTTTTTTTATGAAGAACTATTTGGTTTTTTCTTTTATGAAGAATTATTTTATAAGGAAATATTTTGTTTTTTTATATTTTATTTACGATTTTTTATATCTGAATTAACATTTTTATGTATAATAATAATTTTTAAAATGTTCTTAGAATGCTTTTTAGAAAGGTTTTAAGAAGCTTCTAAGAATCTAATTGCATCATTAAAAGAGTATCTATTGAATGTTTTAAAAGTCCCTAAAAACATTCTTAGCAATAAGGGAAGGTTCTAAGAATATTCCATTATTCCGGGTCATATCTTCTTAGAAGATTCTTAGAATCAAATTTTGCTATCAGGGTAGTCAGTTCATAAGTGGGGGATTTAAAATATAAAATATATGATACCATAGACATATCAATAGTTCCACGTATGATACGAATTGTCAACTGAATTTAGGTTATATCAAATTTTTCTAAATCATTTGCTTACATCGCCTAGGTTAAGCTTAAGCTTAAGTGGTTTTGCTTTATTAAAAGCAAAAAGTAGCATAATATGCATATTATGTGAGTGCCACTAAAAATCTCGTAAACACAATGAAAAAACAACAGAAAACAAACAACATGGTTTATTATAAAAACCATCTGCAAATTAGTATGTCTATGATAAAAACCTTTTGGGCTATCGACGATAGCCTATCGTGGTCGATAAACGACGTTGCCAAATTCTTGCTGTTATAAACGTGCCATTACAAAATCCTAAAATAACATTTTGTTTAATTAATTTAATTCTTGAATGCTTGAAAAATAATACTAATAATAATACATGATAATTTAAAGCAATATTTTTTTAATTTAAAAATCTTTTCTTTACTGCTTGAAAATCTTAAACGAAAATAAAAATCCATAAATATAAAATGTTTTGATGAATTAATTCATAAAATGGCTTAAATTAAATGAAAGCAAGCAAAGATTCTATTTCCTTTTTTAAATTGAATTTTAGGCTAAAATGGGTCGGTAAAATAATTTTTCAAAAAGATTTATTTTATTAAATCAACGTAATACCACATTACAAAACATGATTAACTATATTTATATATATACAATTCTTAATGTACAATACTAGAATATTGTAAAATGTATTTTTATAAGCTAAACATACGTTTTAAATAATTAATTAAGTCTTTATTTTCGATGATTATCTATTATTTTAAGTCGTTTTTAAGGATTACAAGTATATTTTGTGGTTTAAATTCAATTTCAAAATAAATAAATAAATTATTATGACGTAATGTTTTTTTTTTTAATTTTTTTTAAACAAAACCCAATACATAAAATATTGTTCTATGTACAGTCATTATTGAAAAAATACATGCTAATTTGTTAATTTCTAAAATACGGTGGTCTTCCCATGCTGTATGTGCTCATTGGAATTCCCCCTCCTGATTTGTAAATATCGTTTTGGTCGTAGTCTACATCGTAATATATTCCACTTTGATTCTAAAACAAAAATAACATTATTATTACTATTATCATTGCATCCTGTCTGGTTAACGTCAATATTAGGAACTGGACTTCCCAAGTAACATATGACTCTTGGCTTTTACCAAAATATTATATCGAAGCTTTATCCCTGATAGCACACTTTATTCTAAGAATGTTTTTTAAACCTTCCAGTGAGAATATTCTTAGGATCATGCTATATTTCTTCTAAAGAACATGATTAAAAGAAATATAGCATGATCCTAAGAATATTATTACTGGCCTATAGGCAGGTTCTTAGAAGGTGCAAAGTTTTAGTGGTAAAAATTAGTCTACTCTAAACATATGCTTAGAATTTTAAGAAAGTAATTGCTATAGGAAGTTCATTTAGGAATATTCCTGTTAAGCATATTTAGTTCAGTTACCTATATAATAGTAAAATATACCATAAACTACGTATAAAGGTATACTTATACCCATACTTAAGTACCTTATTAGTAATTAGTATTAAATACTAAGTAAAAAACACAATCCAAAATATTTTTTTATAGTTATTTTTCAAATTAAAACAATATTCGATAATAAAAATACTTTTACTATAGGTATTTTATTTTATGTTAAAAATAAATACTTATTAATTTTTATACCGATTTTTTATTTTTGAATTAACATTTTTATGTATAATAATCCTATCTTCAACTTCAATCTAATCTGACTTATTCCACAAAATTTTACTTTTTATGAAATAATGTCATACAACTTATGGTTTAGAAGTCAAATTGTTTATTTAATATTTTTTAAATAAATATATTAATATGTCGCAATTTTGTTTAAGGGGACGACAAATACATTTCACTGTCATATTATGACAGTGAGGCATATTTATCGTCTTTTGAAGAATTTTACGAATGTAGAATACAACATATTAGAACGTGGGTATCTGACATATTTGGGAATATTCTCAAAAGCTTCCTAGAAGCTCCATAAGAAACCTTCTAAAAACATTCCAAAAACGTATTCTTAAAATGTTCTTAGGATGCTTTTTAAGAAGTTTTTAAGAATCTAATGACAACATTAAAAGGGTATCTATTGAATGTTTTAAAAGTCCCTAAGAACATTCTTAGCAATAAGGGAAGCTTCTAGGAATATTCCATTATTCCGGGTCATATCTTCCTAGAAGATTCTTAAAATCAAATTTTGCTATAAGGGTTAAACTTTGCTTTATTATGGGATATCATTTATACCCTTATAAAACCAAATTTCTGGAGGAAACTGTCCTAAGACTATTTGCTTTTGCTGTAAGTTTTTTTACAGCTAATACTTTAAAACCAAATCACTAATGTGTTACTTGGGTTACAACCAGTTCTAAGACGAATGGCTGGAACAAGAAGACGGTCAAGGATTTTTATACAAAAGGTTCTTCAAACTGTAAAAAGGCAGAAAGGCTCCTGTAACAAACAGGAACCCACTAAGAGCCATCACAGGCATCCTAACAGGGCACTGGTTGGTCAGGAATGAGACAATAAAAGTGTAGGTGCTATTATATAGTACCTACACTTAGTATACTTAAACTAAACTTACAGCAATTGACGCATTGCTTCTACTCTTAGGCCTGGGTACTTGGAAATTTCTTCCCAAAAGATCTGCTTTGTCTTCTTCTTCGCTTGAGCTGGAATTATCCAGTGGCCTCATTCCATGCATGCTGGCAGCCCTACTGGCCATCTGCGATTGGAGGTTAAGTCTTGGTAGAGGTATTGGAGGAAGAGTGCCGTGCATCGAACCATGTTGAAGAGTGCCGGTCATAGAGAGATTGGGGTAACCAAACATTGCCGAAGATGGTCTGGTTGGGCCAGTTACTGGTTCGGGCTAAAATAAATACGTTGGTTAAATATATGTCGAGATTTAGACTTGGACTTACTGCATAGTGGTTTGCTTGTGCCATCACATCGGCGATTTGCGCCCATCTCAGTCTGTCCTCCAAAGTTAATTGGTAAGGGGGTTGACCAACTACTGGAGTTTTCACAGTATTGGTTGCTGTTGCCATGTAACCAAATACAGGACTGCCAACGGCTGCTTTTTGTTCTCTACTCCAGCGGCGACTAAAATATGAGTACGTTACTGTTTGTGTGCTATAGCGTTATAAAATACACGTACCTCCACATTACAAGGCAAACAAGTGTCAATCCGATAATGATAACAGCGGCAACGCTGGCTCCAATAGCGACTCCAAGAACTTCTCCGTCCAACTCGCATTGGGTACCGTAATAATTTCCAGAACATCTGCAAGTTTAAATATATTTTTTATAATTAAATGTTACTGTATCATCTTGAGAAGGTTCTGCCTTAAGAATGTCGACATATGCTAGATAAAACTGTCCTATCCAGAGAACCATGGTTTGGGAAAGAAATTAGTTAACTTCTTCCCAACTAAGTTTTGTGTACGATATTTTACATTCATTGGGGTTTATTTGGACATAAATTGTATTTTCATTAAGTTCGACCAAAAATTGACATATTTTATGTCAATCCTTTCCCAACGCGATAGCACAAAAACTGCATGAAAATAAAGACTTAAGTAGAGTTATTTTTGGCCAACTTCGTTTGTAATGAAGTTTGGTCGGAAATTTCCAAAGCGTTTGTAATGCCGGTTGATCGAAATTGGCATATAATTGATCAGCATGGAAAAAGAATCAGTTTACTATGCGAAATAGCTCATAGCGCGAATACAAAATATTTTTTCTATTCCCACCTTTAAAACGCCCTTTATCGTACATGTTTCAATGACACTAAGTGACCTTTTAAATACACATTGACAAGTTGTGGGTTTACGGCGCTTTAGTCACGGGCTGAAGTTAGTTTTAAGTTAGTTGACAGTTGTCAAATGTCATACAATCGTTAAAATAAAGTGCCTTTCTTGTAAAATAATACTAAATGTGAAAATTATTTTTTTATCTCAATACAAAAATACAAAAATATTAAATAGTTTCTCAACGCCAATATTTGAAAAGTAGGTTTATGAACATTGTACTGACCTTTTAATTTCGCCGGCAGTAAACTTTAACTTAAATTCGGGCACGGACTCTACTGTAAAGTCCTCATAAAACATTTCCTTTACTTTCACTGTAAAAAACTGTCAATTTTCAAGATAAATTTCGATTTATAACCTTTATAATTGTGTTTATAAAATGTAAAAATGTGACATTTGACAGTTTCCCCTGTTGTTTCATAGATGGCGCTCTATACAATTTTTTTATTTAAATCATTATAAGATAATAATAAGTATTTTTCGTAGAAAAAGTATAGTATGCACCTCGTTTATAAACTTTTCTATACACTCATTAACTTAAGCACTCGCTCGCAAGCTCGCTCGTGCCTAAATTAAATTCGTGTATAAAATGGCGTTTATTAAACTTGATACATAATATACTATTAGTTACTTGGAAAATATTATACTGGTCTTACTAAAAAAAATAATATCATGTCTCCCAATTTAAATCGAACGCTTCTTATATTGGTAAAATGTGGCCGGTCGTGGTATGTTAAAAATATTGATAGAAGATCAGTGACAAGTGTTTCCCTTATGTATTAAGAGCGGTACACAGCAAACGAAAAATTATAGAAGTGTATAGGATGACTCCGCGTTTGAATATCAAATCTTAAAGTTTTATCATAACTGTATTGAATCGTGCTTTGTTTTTATATTTTTCGGCTCTATACCTATGCACGACTATATTTAAAGTCAAACTCAATGGTGTCTTACAAGATACATTATTTTGATTTTCTATATTCAACAGAGGAGTAGAAACTCGACCCTGTCGAATGGTGCAGTCATATATGTCTCTAGAAATTATTAAAAAAGGGTTCAGTCCAATGGTGCAGCAACTTCGGATTCCTATTCTCCTCAGAGACATAGAAACTCAAGCTTTTCGAATTTTACTGGCAATGATTTTCGTTATGTCCCCGAGAATTATACAAAAACAGCGCAATGCAATATCGCAACGGTTTCGACTTCTCTTTACTCTACCAAGTTATAGAAACTGGAGTCTCTCTAATACTGTTCTAGTCAATATTTCTGAGAGTATAAAAAGAGGGTGTAATATTGCAAAAAGTTTTGATCTTTTGATGGATGAATTTTCTCATTTCTCCATATGATTTTGTTGAAAATAGTTCCTTTCTTTGGTTCCTTTGTCTGATTTTTATTTACCGTAACAACTCAGGTATGTAAAGCACAGAGGATATGATGTTAAGTATATTTATGTATTATATAAAGTACCTATATTTGTATTAAAAATTTAAGAGGTTATGTTGAAAAATGATCGATATGCTATTAAACTTTAATAATTTAGTAATTAGGTCTGTTGGTAGACCCTGCACTATCTCCACTGGTATATGTTAATTTTGTAATATTTAAATCTGGTTGATGAAAAAGTACACACCAGTGCAGGTTATTGTAGCATCTACGAACAAATGAATTAATGGCCCATTGGCAATTATTCCTTTAGGAAAAATATTCAACACAGCTTAATTAATTAATAAAATGAAAAAAATCACAATCATGTCGTATATAGTTTTTTTAAGCATAAAATAATTTTTATATTAATACTAGTTCAAAAGTGAAATTACGACCTCTATACTGTGGAGAGTATTGAAACGCTCGACTGACGAATACAACTCTATACCGTAGGGAGATTTAGAAATCGATATTCAAACGTGGCGTCATCCTATACACCTCTATAATTTTCCGTTTGCTGTGTAAGTACTTCTAATTGTAAATATTAATTTAATAAATTTTTTAGTTTAAGCCTGATATTTTAATGCGTACTTTTTTAATAAATAACGCCGGTCCCTATCCTAACTGTTTTTAATTATATCCCTGACTAAACATTTTAGATTTGTACAATGACATATACAATACATAACCCCAAATTTTCGTAAACTAATCTCAGAGACCTTGGTCTTAATCTCATTATTTGTGTCGACAGTCCCCTGTAACGACGGTCCTCATACATATTTGAAAAATTATGCAAATGCTCGCCGTGAATTTACTGTGAATTCACTGTGAATTCACTGTGAATTCACCGTGAATAAACCGTCTGTTTGTGACATTTGTAAACGGTAGTTAGACGGTGAATTCACGCACTTTTCACAGTATTTTAATTGTGAATCCACCGTCTTTTGGCGGTGAATTCACGGTGAATAAAACAATAATAATAACACAATCGACTTATAGCTAGCCATTATTCGTTACTGAGCAGATGAGGATGGAGATGGGGATCAAACAATTAATGTTCAGCTATGCCATTACAGACGCACACTTCCAACTAAATATTGCAACCCAACGCTATTTATAGTTAGCTCGCTTGCGTAAGCAGCCGTGAGATGTATTGCTTAAACCACTTAACACAGAAATCGACTAATAAAAAAACCGCTAATAAATGGCATCCAACTAGTTGTTTTTTTCTTTATGATGGCGTCTCAAGTTGATTTTGCGCAGCTACAAGAGAGCTCACTTGCGATATTTGTATTGTATTGGGAATAACCAATTAGCAGATTGTTCGAATCTTACACTTACAATTTGCGGTGTTTTCACAGTCAATTTACGGTGTTTTCACAGTAAACTCACAGCGCTTTTACGGTGAATTCACGGTGATTTCACGATAAATTTACGGTACTTTCACAGTGAATTTGCGGTGATTTTGCAAACTTGAGTTTACCGTGAATTTATCGCAAAAACAGCGTGAGTTCACCGTTTAATTACCGTCTACAAATGTCACAAATGGACGGTATATTCACTGCACATAAACGGTGTATTCACGGTAAATTCACGCAAACGGTGAATTCACGGTGAATTCACCGTAAACTCAAGGCCGCAAGGGATAGTACGACGCGTCGTTACGTCGCGACGGTCCCTCTTGGATTTCATCTTTTATTAGAAAACGAAGAATAACTATGACAATTTTTTCTTATTTTAATAAGTTTTTTAATTTACCATTATTAAATTTTATCCCACCTGTATTTGTAAAAAATTTCAAATACACTCCAAAAAATTAATAAATTTTAATGTAAACGATAAAAATCTTTTTTAGTAATATTCTTTAAAATATAATTATATATTTCTAAATACTCTGGATTTGTCTAAATATTTACCAATATCATGTCATTGGTCAATCTTTCAAAAGCCTAACATTTGCTCAAATAAACATCAAACATTTGTCATCGTTTTTCCAACCAACGTTAACCTAACTTAATCCAAACTTCTTTTGCATATTATTGGGTACAATTTGGTCATTTATTGTTGGCCATCGCGATTGCACAAAAATCATAGGAATATTAAGTTTTATATTGTACATTTTTTGGCAAAACTTTTCCAAAGGTCAATTCTTGGCCAAGTTTTGACCTGATATGGCTCTCTGGGTATTAGTCACTATAAGAATATATTGACAAAATTGTAGGTTGTATTAGAGTCTACTTAAAAGACATTAACAAAGTTTTAGAAAGATTTACTGTAAAAATAACTATATTTTTTATTAAAAAATGGATGCTAGCTTGATAAAACTAACTTGGGGTGGTTTTTAAATGAGATGTTACTGATCTTGCGTTTTTTTTTGTTTGATTTTATCGTTTCTCGTATATTGTCGATTTAAACGTGCCAATAAAGGAACAGTAAATTACCACAAGGTGACTCCAAAAAAACTGTTTCTCTATTTGCTTGAATCGATTGAAAAAACTTACATGCACACTTCCTGTCCGCTCTGATATTTGCATTCGCCTCTGTTGTTGCAGTGTTGCGACGAGCACTGTTCGCAATGCCTTCCAGCTCTGTGTTTATTATCGGACCAAGGATCTCTGTAACCCTCGCTGCATTCACACTTGAATCCACCGAATATATTGATGCACTTCGCCAAAGCGTGACAATCGTGCAGCTCAGACGACGAGCACTCGTCCAAATCTAGAGAAAATTAAAACAATGTATTACGAGAAATCAAATATTGAAATTTGTGGGTTTTGTATCCTGACCTACCTTGTAAATTAGAGATCGATCCTGGAGGGCTGTCCACCCACAATGCACTGTTACCAACGTTATTACTTCTTCTTGTAATAACCCCAAGCAAATGCTTCTGTATGTCAGCTTTAACATTAGGTCTGGAAGTATCAGCATTCTCTTCAAGTTGCAAAGTCAAATTAACGAAAACACCAGCCTGACCAGCGGCCCTTTCCCCTCTGTATATGCTGTTTACTCTCGAACCCAAAAACTCGTCGCTGAATGGAGTCATCGACATGGCAGACTCAAGCTACAACAAAAAACATTTAACATTTAATCCATTGTGAATAAAAAAATCTTACAGCTCTTTCAGCTTCAAAGGACAATTGCTGGTAGCTATCACTGTCTTTATCGGACAATTCGCTGGCCCATACAACTCTCCTTTCGTAGAGTCGGTCCACTCTTAAGGATAATAGTACGGAAACTATTTTTCTGCACGGATCTCTATGCTTTCTTCTTGCAGTTCCTGGTCTACAGTGGCACGCACTCACTCCCAACTCTGTCCTACACACTTCGTGCTGTGATATATCGCAGGTCGAGTCATCACCAACAATACAAGTATCGATCCTGGAAAGTTCTTAATATGAGGATCTACACTGTTTAATATCTGTGGTGTAAAGAGTAATCTTAAAATGGTGTCAAAATCCAACACCAAGTGGTGTTAATATAACACCATGAATTATGGTTGAAAATGTTTTATACAGCAAACACCAAAACGGTGTTTATCTAAAAATATTTGAAAAGTGCACCTACACAAAAACAAGGAATAGTTCATTTAACTATATTAATTTAGTTGACACATAAGTATTTATTTAAATCAATTGTGGGAAGGTTAATATAAACAAAGATTAGTCTGACGGTACTAAACCAGATAGTTATTTTTTTTTTTTAATTGGTTAAATTAATCCAGAAAACTTTAGTGAAACCAACCCGCTGTATGGTTCACTTTACTAAATATGTTGTTTGTAAAATAAGAGTTACTTCAACCTAAAGCACTCTGTTAAAACGATTAAAACAATTTGCCGTGCATTCCCGGTTGCATAGTGTGTACCGATCGCGGCAAAGGCGGTATGAATCACGTGATGTTCTTAAATCTCGCCTCTGTTGACTTACATGAAGAGTATATAAGCTCAGGTAGTCCTTTGCTTTGGTGTGACACTACAAGTTGTTCGATACTAAAGAGACCTTGAATAGGTGGAAACAGCTGTCAATACTTGAAGTAATTTAAGTTAGTGGAACGCACTAAAAACATTATCTCTAGCGAGTTAAAGGTTCCATTTTCTGGAATAATGCCACTGGTAATATACTAGTAATGGGTCAAGGAACTTCCTGTTTCCTTTTTTTTCCTTTTTTCTGTGTAGTATGATTTAATTTGACCACAAACACATAATATTTAACACTGAAAAGGAGTTCAATTTACACCAGGTAAAATTTATTTTAATACTGTGTGAAAGTTAAATTAACACTATTTTAGTATTTGAATTTACACCGGACCAACGAACCATATTTAACACCATTTTGGTTTGTATCGATATAGTCGCACAATATACTATTTCTTCATTCTTACCTTACAGGTGGTTGGCTTGGTCTAGGCCTACCATACATAGGCCTCCTTTGAGTGGGCTTGACGGATCCCAAGATGGGTTTTGGTTTATCATGTTCCACCACAGCATATCCAGTTCCTGATACGTGATTGTTTGGTGCAATGGTTGGGTTTACCATTGGGCTTGACGTGGTTGACGGTGCAGGATTGTCTCCAAACAGGTTAAGATATGTTCGCTTTCCATCAATTGAAACAAATCCTTCATCACCTACAGGGCTTGTGATTAGATCAGCATTTGACCCCACGTGAACATTCTCAATATCGACTAAAAATATACAAAAAAATTTGTTGCATTTCCTTTAGTATTGTATGAATTTACCTGGTATAACATACGGTTTCCCCTGCCCAGAATTGCCTCCACCTGGTCCTTGTATAGCAGAGACTGTAATGTCAAATATCTCCCCAATCTGACCAATGGGAGGCCGAGTTATAATAGGTTGCCTATTTATACCGCCAGGTTTAAATTCCGTATCGTCAAGAACTATACCTGGTCTGGGGCGATATGGGTAGTATGGGAAATCTTGTTTGGCGCTTGTGGAGGTGTGATTATCTAAAAAAAAAACATTCTTATGATAATAATATTAATAATTATAATATATCTTACTTATTTGCGAAGAAGGCTTGATCATTGTGGATTCGGTGTTTTGAATTTTATCGCTGGAACTTAAAATTGTCGGTAATGCTTCTGTTGGAGTTGCAGATGAACTTTTCGTATCCATTAAGTCATGTTTTAGAGTTTGAAGCACATCTTGAATTGAAGATTCCAACATCAATGGAGATTCGCTGGTTGAATTCGTGGGCTTTTTTAATTCAGGTGTACTGGCTAACGAAGTTGGTTTGATATTTTCTTCTGTAGTTGATGGTATTATATTCAATGTTTCCATAGAGGTATTGTTAGTTGATTCAACAGAATCTGCCGAGGTGATTAGAGTTGGGGTTGCAGTTGTAGTTTTTGAAGCGTGTTTATCCATTTTTGAGGAGCTTTTTTCTTTATTCTTCTCAAACTCCGCAGTTTCGTTATCCATCTCCATGGTTTCTTCTAGTTCGATGTTAGTTGTGCCTTCTTCAGGTGACGTTGTAGGTTTTCCAGTATTTTCCATGGACTCCTGGCTGTTGGATTGCAATTGTGATCCCATGTCGAGATTAAATATGTCTTCCATAGGTTTCTCCGATGTTAGACTTATGTAGTCCGAAGGAATGGCAGGTAAGGGTTTGTAAGATGGTATTGTAGGTCTGCGGGTTGGTCTGCGATTATTCCATGGCCGCATAGTCACCGGTCTATAGAATGCTGGTCTAGTACCGATTTGTTCTCCCGAAATGGGTATGGGGTTTCCGAAAGTTTGGACAGGGGATATGTTATTTGGGGGGACATCGAAGGGGTAAGGTGTGGGCATTCTTGTGGACGACGGTGGTGGGGGTTTCTGCCCAAGTGGGGGCGGCGGTAGAGGGGCGGGAACGTCGAAATCGGGAGGCAAAGCAGGTACGTCGGTTATCCTTGGCGGACCCCTGTTGTTAATCCTCGTGGAGAGCGGCCTTAACGGCCTGCCCATGCCCGGAGCAGTGTTGGCCTGGACGTTTACGTTTCCATTGAGCAGCTTCACGATGCCGGTGATTATGTCTTGTATGTCAGGGTTGGCCTGTCGACCTTTGTTCTGTTGGCTTGATTGGGTAACAGAAGTCTGCGCCGTCGCTATCGTCGCAGTTGGGGTGGGGGTGGTTTCTTGGGGCTCCTGCAGTGGCAGTGACCTTGGCTGCGGAGCCCCCTTGCCTTCCCCCGAAACGGGGCTCTGTGTTTGTTTCACGCCGTTCGATGGCACTAATTTATTCTGCAAACAATAAATATTAACTGAAAACAGAGTACCTTGATTTAAATTTTGAGTAATTAATTAAGGTTATGTTTTCAAGTTCTTTTCTAACAACTCAATTATCATACAATTCCTTACTTTTCGAAGATTGTTATTCCTTCGTTTATTTTAAAGTAACATAAATTTATATTGGTAGTTCTATATTATGTAGGTAGGTACTTATTTTTTGTTCATTAATAGAGATTTTTATCTCGTTGTATGAAGTTCCAGTGAAGAAAAAACTGCCTTGTTCTAGGTAAATAATGGAATATTCTTAGAACCTTTCCTTATTGCTAAGAATGTTCTTAGGGACTTTTAAAACATTCAATAGGGTTCTTAAAAGCTTCTTAAAACCTTCCTAAAAAGCATCCTAAGAACATTTTAAGAATACGTTTTTGGAATGTTCTTAGAAGGTTTCTTATGGAGCTTCTGGGAAGCTTTTGAGAATATTTCCAAATGTCAGATACCCGCGTTCTAATATGTTTTATTCTACTTTTGTAAAATTCTTCAGGAGACGACAAATACGCCTCACTGTCATAATATGACAGTGATATGTATTTGTCGTCCCCTTAAAAAATTTTGCGACTTAATAAATATTAATTTAAAAATATTAAATAAACAATTTGACCTCTAAACCATAAGTTCTATGACATTATTTCATAAAAAGTAAAATTGGACAATTTTGTGGGATAAGTCAGATTAGATTGAAGTTGAAGATAGTTAGGATTATTATACATAAAAATGTTAATTTAGAAATAAAAAATCGGTATACAAATTAATAAATATTTATTTTTATAACATAAAATAAAATACCTATACTGCCTACTATGTAGAAAGGCAGTAACTGCTAAACAAGAAATTTGTGGAAAATTATCATAAACTACATTTTTAAAAAAGGGATTGGTATTTAAATGATTGTTTTAACTTATGAGATATTTGACTGCATTTCTGTGTTGAATTCGGTTATAACCGAATTGTATACAAAATGTCCATAGCTTTACCATAGCACAAGAAAACGCATTTTGAATTTTTTTGCAGTTACTGCCTTTCTCCATAGTAGGGCAGTATAGTAAAAGTATTTTTGTTATCGAATATTGTTTTAATTTGACAAATAACTATAAAAAAATATTTTGGATTGTGTTTTTTACTTAGTATTTAATACTAATTACTAATTAGGTATTTTAGTATACGTAGTATAGTATACGTAGTTTATATATTTTACTATTATATAGGTAACTGAACTAAATCTGCTTAACAGGAATATTCCTAAATGAACTTTCTATAGCAATTACTTTCTTAACATTCCAAGCATATGTTTAAAGTAGACTAGTTTTTACCACTAAAACTTTGCACCTTCTAAGAACCTGCCTATAGGATTGTAAGAATATTCTTAGGATCATGCTATACATATGCTATACATATGTATGTATTTTAAGCATATTCTTTAGAAGAAATATAGCATGATCCTAAGTGTGTTATCAGGGATAGTGCCTAAAGTGAGCAAGGTAATTGTAATTTTTGGTTTGAATTTTAATATTGATGTGTATTTTTTATTTTAGAACTTCTTTATAACATATAAAGTTACCAATCACAAACAATTTAACAATAAGTTCTTAATAATTCATAAAACATAATTCTTGATAGCCTTATAGTAATTCTATTTGTCTCGTAATATTATAAAGGTATTTTTTCTAGAGAGGTTACATAAACACGAGAGATTTCCTCCTACTGGGGCTGTAGAGTTTCAGAGGTCCTTTGACGTGGCCTTGAACAATGCCAAGCAACTTTATAGAAAAAGTTTTTTTTGAGTTACAGCAGAAAGTTTAAAATTGGAAATCAGAAATTGTAACATTGCATTTAATATGATTTAAACAAAAATGGGTAAGCATATCAGGTCAAAATAGCTAGAAGAACAAATGTTGGATAAGTGAAAGTTATTAAATCTTTTGCAATTTGAAACGGTGACTAATTAAATTGTATCCGGAATTGTTAAAACCCAAAAGGTAATAATGTTAATTAATTGTTTACCGTTTTCGATGGTTGTATTATATTGGCCATCCTCCCACTCAACTCCACATCGTTACTATCGAATGATTCCTCGACATTTTTGAACGCCAAAAGTCCATCCAATCCAGAAGTCCTCGACAGAATTGGATCGGCAGAACGTTCCAATCGAGTTTTCAAGGTTGGAGTAGTGTTTATTTGACTACCAAACAATGGGGTTTTTTGCACTTTCGTAACTTGTATGTCATCCGGACTAGACGTTCTACTACCAAAGTCTAGTTCTTGAATAATATCATCACTTGCTGAGTTTGGAGAAATAAAAGAATTCGATATGTGGTCCAAACCTGTAAAGAGAAAATATAATATAATAATAATGTCAACAACTTTATTTTCTAAAATTTTAACTTAATTTTTTGTAGAAAACCAGGGTGTGTAATTATTTTAACAAAGGAAAATATTTTACCGAAAGTTTTGTAAAGGTAATAAGCATTTTGTTCATTTCAAAAGTTACATAATATTTTGTAAATGTTTAACAAATTATTTCGTTGAAATAGTACACGTGATTTCAGGCAGTCAATTAAAACATTTTCCACAACAACGTTGTTGTACAAGTTCAACTGACTTCAGCGTCTGCAACTTATGTTTCTGCTTTCTTTATTCTAATTCGTAATGTGTTCGTAACAACTGTCCAGAGTGTTTAGAATATATTACCAGAAATCTGTTATATCTGTTGTATCTGATAATTATATTGTACCAACTTTCTTTACAATTTGATGATTTCAGAATGTGATATTTAATTTTGTGAATGTTATTTTTGTGTTAATTTTTGTTTAGGAAATAATTAATAAAGCAACATTTCTTATCAAAATTCTTTTGATTTCCAACAAATACTTTTGTTACTGGGTTCACAAAATGATTTGCAAAAATAAGGTCTTTTTTTTAAATTACATGAATTATGGTTGAATTTTTGATATACGATTTTGTTATTAAATCTGGTTAATATTTTGTTAAAATTAACAAATATTTTTTTACTGTGTACTTAAAACTATATTATGTATCAAGTTTGATAAACACCATTTCATACACGAGCGAGCTTGTGAGCGAGTGCTTAAATTAATGAGTGTATAAAAAAGTTTATAAACGAGGTGCATACTATACTTTTTCTACGACAAATACTTATTATTATCTTAAAATGATTTAAATCAAAAATTTGTATAGAGCGCCATCTATGAAACAATAGAGGAATCTGTGTGTCACCGTCAAATGTCACATTTTTGTATTTTATAAACACAGATTATAAAGGCTATAAATCGAAATGTATTTCTTGAATGTTGACAGTTTTTCACAGTGAAAGTAAAGAAAATGTTTTATGAGCACTTTACAGTGAAGTCCGTGCCCGAATTTAAATTATAGTTTACTGCCGGCGAAATTAAAAGGTCAGTAAAATGTTCACATAAACTTTTCAAATATTGGGGTTGAGAAACTAAACTGCTCGTCATAAAAATCGACGCACCTAGTTTTTTGGAAAATATTTGAAAGCTTGTTATTGAAAAATTACTGAATCGATTTTGAAAATCTTTGAAAATTCTGAATAGCTGATTATTTGACTCTTATGTCTAATTTTGGAAATACAATATTTTGCACATAGCATTATACTACAGGGTGTTAAACGAAGAGATATATTTTTTCCGAAATTTCAAGTTATTCCCATTCATGAGGGAGTTGAGTTTGATAGTCGTAATACCCCTCCCTAATATAAGTAAGGTAATCCCTCGGAACGTTTTCGAGATTTTATGAATATCGCGGATTACTACGATTATATGCCAATTTATCGAAAATTGTCGTTATTTTAGTCCAAAAAATGAGCAATATTGGATTCTTTGACTTACGTTTAATTTTGAGAATACGATATTGTGCACATAGCATTATACTACAGGGTTTTGAAAAAAGGGATGTTTTTTTTCAAAATTTCAAATCCTCATTCACAGGGCAGTTGAGCTTGATAGTCGTAATACCCCTTCCTAATAACAGTTAGGTTATCCCTCGGGACGTTTTCGAGATTTTGTGGATATCTTGGCTAACTACGATTATATGGCAATTTTTCGAAAATTCCCGTTATTCTTCATTTTAGTCCAAAAAATGAGCAATAGTTGATTCTTTGACTCTTATGTCTAATTTTGGAAATACGATATTGTGCACATAGCATGATACTACAGGGTGTTAGAAAAAGAGATGTTTTTTCCAAAATTCCAAATCCCCATTCACAGGGCAGTTGAGCTTGATAGTCCTAATACCCCTTCCTTATAACAGTTAGGTAATCCCTCGGGACGTTTTCGAGATTTTGTGGATAACTACGATTATTTAGCAATTTTTCGAAAATTGTCGTTATTCTCCACTTAATTCCCAAAAATGAGAAAACAACGAAAGGTATTGATTAGTTATCAACACATCGTTTCTACAATTTGCATGTTCTTGTGCCCATCTTCTTCTAGTAGAAAAAGAGGGCAGGCAGCTCTTCGTCTTGCGTGGTGTGCAATCTTACATCCGTCATTTATTTTTTTAAATGTGTTTTACTGTTTGAAAAATATTTTCATATTCGACGACAAAAATGACAAGAATAATTAAAGGAAGGAAATTCAAAACCAGATATACGCCATATTTTTTAAACTTTCATAGTCAACCGTTTGTAGAAAATTGCATGAATATAGCCTGCATAAGTTTACGAGTATAATTTTGTTTGGTTTGCGTTTTTATTTTGAATTTAACCGAAAAAAATTGGATTTGTGTGAAACATTTCACTTTTAATGAATCACGCAACGTACATAAACTGGAAGCACGTGACCTAACTTAAAACGCTATGTTGATACCTTCCGTAGTTTGCTCATTTTTGGGACTTAAGTGAAGAATAACGTGAATTTTCGAAAAACTGCCATATAATCGTAGTTATCCAAGATATCCACAAAATCTCGAAAATGTCCCGAGGGATTACCTGTTATTAGGAAGGGGTATTATGACTATCAAGCTCAACTGCCCTGTGAATGGTGATTTGGAATTTTGGAAAAAACATCTCTTTTTTTAACACCCTGTAGTATAATGCACAATATCGTATTCCCAAAATTAGATGCAAGTCAAAGAATCCCCTACTGCTAATTTTTTGGACTACATAAACTGGGAAATAACGACAATTTTCGATAAATTGGCATATAATCGTAGTAAGCCGCGATATTCACAAAATCTCGAAAACGTTTCGAGGGATTACCTTACTAATATTAGGGAGAGGTATTAAGACTATCAAACTTAACTGCCTAATGAATGGGAATAACTTGAAATTTCGGAAAAAATACATCTCTTCGTTTAACACCATGTAGTATAATGCTATGTGCAAAATATCGTATTCCCAAAATTAGACATAAGAGTCAAAGAATCAGCTATTCATAATTTACAACGATTTTCAAAATCGATTCAGTAATTTTTTAATAACGAGCTTTCAAATATTTTCCAAAAAACTAGGTGCGTCGATTTTTATGACGAGCAGTTTATTTAATACTTTTGTATTTTTGTATTGAGATAATAAAATAATGTTCACATTTAGTATTATTTTACAAGAAAGGCACTTTATTTTAACAATTGTATGACATTTGACAACTGTCAACTAACTTAAAACTAACTTCAGCCCGTGACTAAAAAACTGTTGGTAACTACAGCCCGTGACTAAAGCGCCATAAAGCCACAACTTGTCAATGTGTATTTAAAAGGTCACTTAGTGTCATGGAAACATGTACGATAAAGGGCGTTTTAAAGGTGGGAGTAGAAAAAATACTTTATTATCTTATAACAAAAATACAAAATTATTAAATAGGTGATTTTGGAGGCAATAAACTAGTATTTGCCGATAAAGCATTACAACTACAGGTGGAGTACCTAAAAAACATCCTCTTCACTTTTACTGTAAAAAATCCTTATCGCATTTAAACTGTTATTGGAGAAATTTCGATTTTTCGAGAAGAAAATTTCCTTGAAATATAGTTACTTAGTTTTACTTTGTCCACTCTGTATAACTGTATAAGATAAATATAAAATAAAATCCTTAACCGATGTGGCGAGATACAATATCATAAATGTATTATTAAATATTTTACTACTTACATAAAACTATTATTACTATAGGATGTTAAATATAAATTCATAAATTCAGTTATTTAATAGATGGGAATTAATTAGGAGTATACAAATTAAAAAGTTTAGTTTTATTTACCGTTAATACCGTTATTTTGCCATAGGCATGCACCATCATCAGTTCAAACATAGTAAAATTTAAATTTTTTTACATATTCATTACATGTTGATGTTACGCAATATTTTCTTCACTTAGATATACAGGGTGATGCATTTAACTTGAAACTTTGAAATATCTCAGTTAGTATTCATTTTACGAAAAAATAAATATTTTACGAAATAATAAAAATTAAATGATTTGAGGGGGAAAATCAATCAGTACTAAAATTGGTCCTCATACTCTCCTCCTTATAGTAAGGACAGGGGGTAACTTTTAAATTTACAATGAAACACCCTATTTTTGTATTGCAGATTCGGATCATTCACTAAAAATATGTAGATTTTGTCTGAAACATTTTTTCATATTTGTAATAGATGGCGCTGTAAAAAAAATCAAGTTTGTTCGATTTTTCTTCTATATACGATTCTGCAATAAATTATTGTACTATTTTTAATAAAAATACCTGATTTAAAGTAAAAAAAACAATATTTTGTCAATTCATTAATTTAATCCTAATTAAGGTATAAAAAATGGTATTTAGTTACAAATAATAATTATTATTGAGGTATAAAGAAACTATTTATACATAGTTCAGAATTATTTAATCAATTTAGTTCGAAGATTAATTTGCAAACAAAAAGACCTCCTTTCGTTAAGCAGTTATTCATAATGGATTTTTTAACAGTGGAAGAAAAAATAGAAATGATTTTGATTTTTGGAGAAGCAGGCAGGAATCTTGATGATGCTGTTAATATCTACGCTCAGCGTTTTCCGGAAAAAAATCGATCACGTACTTCATTTCACCGTACAGTCAAGCAGTTTACTACAAACGGGAGTGTTCAACCGAAAAAAATAGTTCGTCGAGTAACAGTCACAGGTGGAAATAATGAAATTAATGTATTAGCAGCAACGGCCGCTAATCCTCATGCAAGCACACGAGAATTATCTAGAGATTTGGGAATATACCAGAGCAGTGTTAGCAGAATATTAAAACGAAATAAATAAATAAATTAAACAAATAAAACCAAATATTTTATTCAAAAATTATTGGAGAATCTTATACAGAAG